ATACCTATTAGGCTCTTTCAGTCTTCCTGGACCAGATCCTTTGGTACCAAACTGACCAACAAACTTTCCATCAGGAGAAAACTTCTGAATGCGATGATTATCCCAATCAGTAACATACACTAATCCCTGACTATCAATAGCAATATCACGTGGATACTTAAACTGTCCATTAGCTGCTCCTTTACTACCAAATAAATGAGAGAAGGTTAGATCTGGATTCAAGACTTGTATACGATGATTATTCCTATCAGCAATAAAAACCTGTCCTGTTATAGAAGAAATGGCTATACCAGAAGGATCACTGAATTGTAGTGGTCCACAGCCCTTCTCACCAACTGATGCTATACGGTATCCATCCATACTCATCTTCTGGATCCTGTTACTATCATCAGAGACAAGAATGAATTTGTCTGGAGTAATGGCTACACCACGAGGAGTAGAAAGCTTGACATTACCTTTTTGTACTTTATTAATTTTTAATGACTTTACTTTCCTTCCATTTTTAGTGCAGATTGTTACACAGCTACCGTTAAACTCAGTTATTATAACATGATCACCACTTATAGCAACTCNCCAGGGACCCTTAAGTTCAGTTGTAGTACTGCATACTGGAGTGATGTTATCAAGGTAAGGATTGAAAGGGATGACAAGTGAGATATCTTCAAGTTGTACATCATGTACCTGTACTTTTATTCTATGATTACCATGGTTTAAAGGGTTACACTGTATCCTATACACTCCAGGATCAGTGCTGGTGGTAATATCTGTAGTGTGAATGGGCTGATCACCTTTACCAACTGGTACTAGACTGCACCTCAGGGAAGAGAGGGGAACACACAGAAAAGATGAATCTGGTACCTCAATTGACAGTGAAAAAGACAATTTCTTTTCATTGGGAAGGCATTCAAAGCACCCAACTTTTTTCACTCTATACTGCTGTAGTATAGTAGATGAGTAGGTCACAATATCTCCAATGTCATTCAACAAATTGATATCTTTACTGATCAATATAAAATCAGCCTTTTCCTTTGGATGTAGCTCCTCCACATTGATCTGTGCAGTAACTTCACTCATATGTTCCATCATCTCTTTCTTAGACCTCAGGAATTGTTGAGGAGTGTCTGTTTTCAGACTCTGTTCCACATAATTCTCAACATCCTCTAGAAGACTCAAACTTGTTTCTGCTGATTTTATTTGCTCTGAAAGCACCTTTAATTTAGCATCAGTGACCTTCATTGCCTGCTTAATCAGTTTCCTCCCTGACTGATGAAGAACATTCATCATTTCCTCTAAAATCTTATGTATATCTTGTAAGATTCCTTCTCCTCTCTCTCTAATTTCACTCTCTCTTTCTGCTAGATCAGACAGGACCTTCTTGAGTGCTTCCTTTTTTTCCTCAACTGGTGAGAGACCTTCTCTTAACTTTTGACAGTGTTTAGTATAACTTTCAGTGATTAATTTATATTCATGATGTTTGTGACTAGAATGAGCTAAGCAGTGTGAACAAATTACAGTGTTACAGGTTTCACAAAAAAAATCGGAAAGTTTTTCATGATCATTACATATGGCCTCTTGAGGATGAAGTAAAGCTGCTGTCTTCTTCATTTGATTGTACATCTCTTTAAGGTTGTTGAGAGTAAATGCTACAGGAAAGGCTACTGCTCCTTGTTCTGGTAACTCTGTACAATGACGACAAGTGGGACAAGAGAGGTAATAGGTCTCATTCTTTTTATCCAGAGGTAATCCCTCCAGACAGTGTTCACAGAAAGAATGTAGACAAGGTAAAGTCTTAGGGTTGGTATAGTGGTCAAGACACACAGGACAGGTGAGCTGTTCCTCCAGTTTGAGGAGATTAGGAGAAGAAGATGGTTTGGTTGCCATTTCAAAAAAAAAAAAATTATGTACGTAATGCAAAAATGAAAAATGAAGAGAGATGAAAGCCGGTAGAAGATGGTGAATGAAGATAGAGCAAAACTAATGAAAAGAAAATGAAGATGTTGGAATGAACGAGACTGAGAGTATATAGCCTGGGAAAAGATAATCCTGTGAAAAGATAACCTTGATTTCCTCTTTGAATATTCTATTGTAGAAAAAGTAGTGGAGGAGAAGGGAAGGTAGTGAACAAGTGATGAAAGAGAAAGTCCTAATGACCAGTTGCAACAGAAAACAAGAATGAAGAAGGTAGAAGGAGCTAGTAGAGAAAGCCAGAAAGGTAAAATAAAGAAGGTCAGCTACATACAAAAAGTGGGCGATACCTTAAATATATTCAAAGATCTTGTGACTACAGGAAGTTATGATACTATACAATGAATCCAGTAGGCAATAAATAGTTAATGCTATTCATTAAGGCTATATGCTCTTGGAATTGGTTTTATAAGTCTGATACAATGATAATGCTGTGTTATAGCCTACATGTATACTTAAACTTCTTTAATTAATTTAATATCATTTTGAACAGACAATTCTTCCTAATAATCTATCAATGTATACAGTACATGTACAATGTAGTGTTGCAATGTTATAAATGCTTTAAAATTATGTCAACACACATCTGTGATGTTAAAAATGCTTTTAAAAATGTGTCAACACACACATGTATATAACTATCTAACCCTTTACCTTCAAGCTTTTGCCCTACTAGTATAATAATAATAACTCACATTTATATTGACAAGTTTGGCTTGAGTGCTAAGATCTTGCCTCAATGATTCATCATCAGGAGCTGTCTGGACCATCAAGCAATCTTTAACCAGCTGCATACAAGTATCACCCAACAATGTACTGCTTCTCGTAGCTTAACTAAGAGTTATAGAAAGTAGAAACATTATAACATACATGTACACGTACATGTACAAATACATGTACATGTATGATCTCATTGTACTCTAATTACATATGTTCATTTTTTCCCATAACTTGACTTAGGATGTCATACAGGATTTTTCTTGTGGGGGACATAACAACAATTTGCAAGGTTTTTGGGAGTTCTCCATTGTGAGTTTGTGCTATCATATAAAAGCCAATTTTGTTGATGCAAGAATGACCTTTATACAAATTTGGATTCACTAAGTTGTCTGCTTTTATAAATGAATGGCTACAACCAGCAATAGTTTGTGAGATATTGTAAATGATAACAAAACAATAATAATAATAATAATAATAATAATAATAATAATAATAATAATAATAATAACTAAAAATAAATAACTGAAGAGAAGAGCATAATTATAAAGAAATAATAATAAGAATAATGCATTAAATAGTAGTTATACAGTGCATTGAGGATTAATATGAAAATAAATGTGAAATGTAAATTGTTTATAAGCAACAAAATCATTTTAAATGTAAAGTGTCTTAATAAGATCTATGACCTGCTTCAGTGTGTGTGTGTGTGTGTGTGTGTGTGTATGTGTGAGTGTATGTAATAGTGTTATAGTGTCTATTCATTTGGTGAATATTATCAGTGGAGAGTGTGTATCTGTTACTATTAAATAGGATCATTATCAAACAACTGATGTGTAACTTTGAGGGTATAGAAATCAACTTCAGATTATGGTATAACTTTTTTATCATCCCTGTAATAGAAGAGAGAGAGGGAAAAAGATATTAAATGATAGTCAATATTGTGATAATGATATAAACAGGTATAAAGTAACTTTTTAAAATTAATAAAAAATTCAATTTTGGATGGAATCAACTCAAACTTGCTACACAACATAAGAACATGTATATAAATCAGGAAGAAATTATAAAAATGAGGAATTTTCAAAATTTCATTTTTGGTGAAATCTGGCCTGTGACCCTGTACTATATAAAAAAATTAAAAACAAGATTAAGTAGGATTCTAGAGCAAATTTGTAAAAAGTAATGGAAACAAGGACAAGTAGGATTCTGAATGACTAACGCAAACATGAAATGAAAATTCTAATCTTGTGACACAAAATCTATTCTACATTGTAATCTTAATGCTTTTATGTAAAAAATTATGGATCACCTTGCAATGTAGAGCAGAATTTGCGTCACAAGAGTAGGATTTTCATTTCGTAGTTTTGCTGGTCATTTCAGAATCCTACCTGTTCTTGTTTCCATTACTTTTTACAAATTTGCTTTAAGATCCTACTCAATCATGTTTTTAAAAAAATTTATGTTCTTGTTTGTGTTGATTTTAAAATAATTATTTATAATGTTTTTTCAGTTGCAATTGTGATACTTGTTGATTATACATAAACAATAATTTTCTTTATTATTATTGTCATTGTTATGACTTTACAGCATTTATGAAAGACAGCATTGAAAAGATATGCTGAAGGAATGTACTATACTGATCACAAGTGAAATTAATATAGTCTGAC